ATGGCTTAAAATGCCATATCTGTAAAGTTTCTTTTAGGGAGTTGATTTTTATCCATGAGAAGTCTTGGAACTAATGGTTTTATGAATCATAAAAGTATTATTATTGCAGAGGGCCTTCTCGGTAGTGGCACCCGCCCAATAAAACCCCTCCCATCAGATGTCAAGGAAATAAACTTTTAGAAGACATCTGAAGGCAACCTTGTATCGGGAAAATTTTAAAAGTCTAATGTTTTACAATTTTTTGTGTGCTGTAAGCTGCCCAGAGTGGCTGGGGAAACCCAGCCAGATGGGCGGGATATAAATCATAACATTATTATTATTATTTGCCCTGTGCCTGGGCATCAAGTGACAAAACAGATTAGACGGACTGAGCTGAGGGCCACAACTTTATTTAGTGATATTCATTGATATTCAGAATACTTGACTAAAGATCTGCCAAATATCTCACCAACCCATCTGACTTGCAATGAGAGAAATGGGAAATAGGGTGTCCTGCACAACTCACCTTGTTTGGACAATGCTGTCTTAGCTTACATCATTCTAGCTGTAATTATCCCACTCTTTGCTTTTCATAGTCTATGCACTCTCAGAAAGAAGCTGCAGAGATTCTGCCAGGGTCCCCATTCTCCACTGACTAGTGGGACCACCGGGCCAAAGCATGCTCCCTCTTCCAGATTCCTTCAGGCTATTAAGTCCTGAGCAGTTCATGAAAAGAGGGGTGGGAAGCCTGTATTGGACTCCAACTCTCAATATCCCTGAACGCTGTCTATGCTATCTAGGGCCTATGGGAGTCAGAATCCAGCAACATCTAGATTCTGACTCCCATAGGTCCCAGATAGCATGGACAGTGTTCCTGGTAGAGCAGCCAATTGCAGAAGAGAGAAGGCTGTGTAACTTCATGCCTCACTTGGCTTGGAGTTGCTTTTTGTAGTACAGTCTGCCACACTATAAAGGGGGGAAATATGCTCAGTTGATGTCATGGCAATGTCAGGTGATTGGCAGGTGGATGGGGCCCCACCCATCTGTCAAAATAATCTACTGATATACAAAGGGGAGGATTCAGAATGCAAAATTTGCGTTTTTGAGACAAGCTGTTTTGTTTTTCGTCAATAGCTATGCAAATGTCACCAGAACTGAAAAGGGTTTTCTGCCTCAGTTTAAATAAAGCATTAATATTTTCCTCATAAAATAATTAGCTGTCATAATGCTGATTAGAACCAGGAGCTGAAACTTTTGCAAACAATAAAGTGTATATATTCTATGGCAAACTCTGGCAAACAACAGTGTGCATACACATAATATGTGTATATATTCTGACAATGCATCAGTATAACTCTATTTTAGTTTCCCCCTGCCTCCAAATTCCTCCAATATAATTTCCCAGTTAAATAATTACACAGCTTCTCAAAAACACTATGCAGAAACTGTGCTATACTGAACATGTGCTGAACCTCATTAATCCTCAAATCAACTCATTAATCCTCAAATCAACTTTTCCACACAAGCACACCTGACCCACCAAGCTCTGCTGGAGCTCTGCTGTTGACCTTCAGATTCTGCAAGGCTCCACAGCCTACCTATGGGGTTTCATTTTATTTTCCCACAAATTTGTCCTCCGCTCCCAAACTTCCGCAAGCCGCCACCTCTGCAAATTATGTTCGTTCCAATAGCAATGAAGGATAGCATCCTTATGACATTGCTTTGTGCAGAATCAGATCATTGGTCTATCAATCCCTAGCATTCTTTACTTCAAATGACAGCAAGGTCTCTCTTAAGTTCTCAGGCAGAGGAGTTTTCCCAGCCCTGGTAACTGTTCTCTAACTGGATATGAAATGATTTAACCTGGGACCTTTGATACATATAAAGTCCCAGGCTAAATCCTTAAACGTTTCTGCACTTCCAATTTCCCACCTAGCTGATATTGTACAGACAGCAAAAGCGGACCTACATTTCTCCCTTAGTATTGCAGGAACAACTTCCTCCCTCCTGAAGAAGGTAGTGTGACGACCTTGTTGTCTTTTAAGGGTTGGCATATGACGTGATAGGCCCGTTCAAGGCAGCTGAATGGGTCTCGTGTGAAACAGACAATGGAAGGTGGTGCCATCTTCTGCTTCTTCCCATTCAGCCAAATTTGTCATCTGCACTCGCTCCTGTCCCTGGGGAACTGGGGAATGGAGTCTCCTCACCTGCCTTTGGGTCCACTCTGAACTCTAAGCGTGTAAATATATGTTTCACCAAATTAGGTTCTCACTGCAATGCAATTCAGGGCAGATGGCAAGGAAGGAGAGATGTAGGGCACACCTTTAAGCACCCCAAAGCAATGGAGTCGAGAAGCAAGGGTTACTATAATGACTAGAAGCCACTGACTTTCAGTTGATGGCCTATGACTCTGAATCTGATTCCTCTACGGATTAGCTGCACAACCACAGGGCAGCCAATCCCAGCAGGGTTGCTCTCACTGCCAGTCAGCTGATCAGTGGGGAAAGGAAGGCTCCCTTGCCTATACAAAATGGGAGCATCTTTGAAGGCTTCCATCTCTAACTGGCCCTCACATATGATGTCAGAGGTGTGGCAGGTGGGTGTGGCTTGGGGAGAAGTTCCCATTGTGCAATTATGTGACTTGACATGGTGATGTTTTGTGGACATATTGTGGTATGATCCTTGTGGAAAGGAGCCTCAGCAAAACATAAATTGGATCGTTCAGAAAACCTAGATGTTGTGATAAAGTGATTGTGTGTTGAGACCCCGAAACCACTCCCTTGTTGAAGAATAAGACATAAGGACACAGATATTGGGTTAAATGTTGTTGGGCAAATTTAGGCCACAACTTTAGTCGTTACAGAATGTGAGTGGTGTCGGTATTGGCTTAGGTATTGGACTGACCCGACTATATCTGATTCCTGTCCGTCATGCAGGGAGTCTGGTAAGGATCAACCACCAGTAGGGGGAATCCCATTGATGCAAACCAACTCTCCCAGGGTTCCCGACAGGGTCGTGGCATGGCTCTAGCCCCGCCCCAGGCTTCAGACAAGATCCACACCCCTGGATTCCTTTAACGGAATACTCTTTAGCTTGGAGGGGCAGGTGATGGCCACACCTCCCTTCCCCCGTCATGAGATCAAACAATGCCTAACCACCAAACATTACAAAGTTGTGACTATTGCCTCAGTTTAAATGGGTCCTGGCCATGCCTCCCCAGCCAGCGGATTGGCTGGCTGGACGATGATGTGGCTAGGAACCTCCGGGTGACATGGAACTTCGTCCCCCGCCCCCGGAGGGGAGTGGGTGGCCACGTGGTCCACCGCAACTCCTCGCCACATTGAAGTGGAGCGGATTTCCTGCCACCTCCTCGCAAATGATTAAGCGGGCACAAGATGTTGGAAATGGAGACTTGGGGTACATTTTGGACTAAGGCAAAACATGTTCTCCATACACATGCTTATGAGGGGAAACTATTCTAAAATAATGCTAAGTTGGTATGTAACTCCTGAAATCGTAAGTAAAGGAAATGAGAATTGCCCAAAGACTTGTCGGAAAGAAACAGGAGACTATATCACATATGGCAGAAGTGCAATGGGGTAAAGGAATATTAGGAAAAGATTGCAGATTTAATATAAAAAAATTAGGTTATGAAATCTCGTATGATCCTCTGCTATTATTATTAAATTATACTGCTGAGTCAATGACGAAAGAACACCAAGAACTATTTCCTTATATGGTTGCTATAGCAAGTATGCCAATAATAGCTAGTATTAATGAATGGACAGATGCAATTTGAGAATTTGATTTTTAATGTCTAAGTTGACACATTTATCAAAGTCAAAAGAATGCAAAGTGTTTTTGTGGCAAACTGGATCCCAGTATTGTCTCAAAGATGTTGTACAGCTTTGAGATGTTCTGAATGTCAATGTTTTGCTTTGGTTTATCAGTCTTACATTGCTGTGCAACTTCCCTTAGGAGCATTGCATTTGGTTAATTTTATCTTTATTTTTTCTTGATTGTCATAATAATAAATAATGATAAGTTCTTTAACAGAATGAAGCATCTTGGGAAACGTAGTTTGTTAAGGGTATGGAGTACAATTCCTACCATTGTTCTTTCCCAAGATTATTGGGGGGTGGGAACCATGATTGTGACAGTGGTGTAAATGGCTGTGTGTGTGTGTGTGTGTGTGTGTGACAAAGTGACTGCAAGCTCCAACCCCTTAAGGCCAGAGTGGTGGCGCATTTGCGCTGTGGCATAGTATTAGTAAGCCTCCCTGTAATGACCTAGAGGCATATTATGTATGCATTTGATGGTCTTGCAAGAAACCTAGAGAATAAATAAAATATATCTGTTGCAAATAGTCTTTCTCTGTGGGTTTGATCGTACTTAACTCTGTGCATTTACCATTTATGTACCTCTCTGAAAAGTGCTGCTGCTGCTCAAGTATAAATATCACAAGTGTTCGGGGAGAAATAAATACCAGAATTGTTCTCATTATATTGGGTGTATCTTTTGAGACTTTCTGAGTCTTCTTAAGTATACTTTAGCAGAACAGCTTGTAAAATTCTGAAGGACCAGGAGGACGAACTGTGAATTGATGGGAACTGAACTAAATCCTTTTTGGAGGGGAGGAGCTGGAACTGGAACTAGCTTTCAAATGAACTTTCCAAGCTCAGGTTCACACAGTGGCCAACCTGATGTCTGTAGGAAGCTCACAAGCAGAACCCGAAGCACAACACTGCTCTTCCACCTGTAATTCCCTGCAAATAGCAGATAACTACTGTGGCTAGTAGCAGAATATGCTCACCTGAGCCACCAGGTCTTATCCCTTGGCACAATCTAAGCCCACTCCCTGGATCTGGGAAGCGTACGGTGTTTTTAAGATCAAAATCTGGCACCTCCTGCTTTTGTGCCATGAGCAGACATTATCTCATGGTACTTACATATACGGAGTCATATACATGGCTATTAATGCACCGCATATCTCTTCCTGCCCCTCGTTTTCTTTGCTACAGTATTCAAAGGCAAACAGACATCCAGAGCCAGTGATGGAAAAAATGATGGAATCTAGCTTTTCAGGAACTCAGTCCTTTCCGGAAGCCTTGTCTCCTGACAGAGGTAGCCAGGCTATGAAGCCACACAGGTAAGGAAGCGACTCTTAATTGACATTTGTTTTGTGATACATATGCAGCACAGTTGTGCACAGTGACTAGGGGGACATTTAAGAGTGTATGGCATGGAAGGAGCCTTGATCTGTTCATTAAGCAGATGTCCAGCATTTCTTCCACTGCAGATGTAAAACAGCCATTACTTCTGCTCTCTGTGTTCCACATTCTTCTCTCTCTCTTTTTTCCTAAAAGGCCTAGAGGAAGTATTAAGGATGCCATCAAAGCTGTAGTCACAGACCAGTGAAGGAGGCAATTGTATTCTGAGAAACCATCAGAATAGAAGATTTCCCCCACTCTCCTGCCTCATTTCAATTCATGAAGTTAATGACTCATCTTCTTGTAGGCAGACAGTGATGCCAACGACCAGATTTTCTCAGTGCCCACCCCCCAAACAAATAGAACTCAATATGAAAAATGGCTGCTTTATATATTCACCTGAGAGCGAACAATCGCCCACCTAGTCTTGCATCCTTTTCTCACAGTGGCCAACTAGATGTCCCCCCCCCATTGACAATTCCAGTTTTCTTCACTCCAATTCTGGGGTGGGGGTGGCTGGAAGGATCTCTCTGTGGTCCTTAGAACAGAGATAATAGATGACTCTATCTGATATGTTGTCAAGTGATTGACAGGGGAGCATTGTTTCCCAAGTGGCTTCGCAGGCCAAACTGAAAGACTTGGCACACCTCATTAGATCTGAGTATCAAGAGGTTCCTCACTGCTGCTATAATTCTAGAGACAACACTTCATCCACCTGACCACAGGAGAGGTGTGCTAGCCCAAACAAGGGAAGGTCAGAAAAATCCAGATTCTCTCTGGCAGGGCAATACAAAAGTCAACAAAGTTGGAATTCAGAACCATGGATAGTGCTCCTGTAAAGGTAAAGGGACCCCTGACGGGTAAGTCCAGTCACGAACGACTCTGGGGTGGCGGCGTTCATCTCTCTTTACAGGTTAAGGGAGCTGGCGTTTGTCCGCAGACAGTTTTTCCGGGTCATGTGGCCAGCATGACTAAGCCGCTTCTGGCACAACGGAACACCGAAACCAGAGCAGCACACAGAAAGGCCATTTGCCTTCCCACCAGAGTGGGAACCTATTTATCTACTTGCACTTTTTGGGGTGCTTTCAAACTGCTAGGTTGGCAGGAGATGGGACCGAGCAACGGGAGCTCACCCCATCGTGGGGATTCGAACTGCCGACCTTTTGATCGGCAAGCCCAAGGCTCAGTGGTTTAGACCACAGCGCCACTCACGTCCCATAGTGCTCCTGTACATGAGGTCAAACATCCCACTGTGTCAGCAAAGTCCTGGATCCATGACCTGAATTTTAGAGCAGAGTAAGGTAACCATTGTCTGCAGTCCCACCCTGGGTGTTGCCTTTTGGCCAGTTAAAGAACCAGTGCCTACTCCCGCAGCTTTTGGCTCTTTCAATGTGATGGAGTTTCCAGTTTTGCAGAGCCCTTTGGGTCCTGCAAGCAGTCTGTGGATCAGCTATCAGAGTCTGTAGGCAGAGGTATCTCATCAGGGGAGGAGAGACTGGCCCTAGTGCTTGTGAAACCACATAGAATGGAACAAGGAGTGGATCCACCTCCACACTTGTCACTGTAGTTGCTGGAGAACTCAGCATTCAATTTTAATATCCAAAATCCACAATGCATTTTCAGGGTAAGCACAAGGTGATCTGATGATTCTTTAAAATACTATTAAATGTATTTAAACTATTTAAAACAGGACTTCCCTTACTGCATCCTTTTTATAAATAAAATAATTCTATTTATATAAATATGACCATTATCATAGTTTAACTATAAATATGATAATGATCACATTTATATAAAAATAATTATTTTATTTATAAAAAGGATGCAGTAATGAAAGTCCTTTTTGCAAGTATTGGTGTTTTAAATATGTGCCTTTGCAGATTCATGGGCCTGATTTGATTTATAGGTGATTGCTTTTGTCATTTTATAATTTACTATTTAATACACCAGACCATTGTTTTTTAGAACAGGCAATAGACTTCTGAATGTCAGTGATTTATAAGCCTAGCATTGATTGTATGCATTGTGCAATTGCTTTATAAGTTATTTTATGCTACAAATACTGTACAAGAGACAGATTAGTCATCTGGGGTTTTTCACTTGATTCGTCTCAGCAGACAGATATAGCATGATAACAGTAAATACATCATGATAAACTCTTGCTCATGCAATATTTTTTTTAGATCAGTCTAGAAAACGCAGGTGCCTGTGTAAAAGTCACCACCAAATTGATTCTACCTAAAGCAAAATTCAGGGCAAATTCAAAGTCCCGCTCAAGCAAAATGTCAATTTGAGTTTTGAGGGAAGGTTAAAGAATTTCAATAAGACTTGACGGTGTTTATCATGGAAGGCATGATATTCCTTAAGGCATGAGAAGGGAACTTCTTTTCTGTGAAAGGTCATTGACCTGAAGGAAAAGTCAATTGAGAAATTATGAAGAATATCAATTATCACTAAAGCTAACTTACAACAGCAGAAGTAGAGCCATTTTACAAATTACAGAGTAGCAAATCTAGACTTGCTGTCTAGCATGTGCCCTGCTGGAAGCCCCAGCCAATTTTGGTTTTCAGGTGAATGTACATGTGAGATACATACATTTACCACATTCACAAGTGACATATTAGGTGCACACTTAAAACATCATTTAGAGCTATTCAAACAGAAGAGTCTAACCACAAGTCATATTGGGTGAGATCTATACAAGACCCATTGACTTCATTTGAACATTAACATGGTCATCCCATTGATGTAAATGGTTTTCTCTAAGCATAACTATGCTTGGATCCAACCAATGATGTTTATTCCTGGAATTTGTGAGACATTCACCAAGGCTCGGGTCTCATAACTGTAGAGTTTCTGTGCACAGTTTCACTAGACATATCCATCCCTCTCCTCCTTTATAATTCCACTGATGTTTTGTCCATTCAAGAACTTCTGTATACACCTTTGAAATTCATCTGAGCTGAAAATTGCTGGAGTAATCTAGTGTATCCTGACTCATATCCACGTTCACAGATTCTCTGAAAAAGATGCCGGACACCCCATGCCAGCAAAGTCTTTATTCTGAAAAGCAATCCAAGCAGGAGCTTAAATTTAAAAACATAAGAGTGCATGGGTGCAGTCTTTTCACATACTTGAAACAATTTTGGACTTACTCTGACATAAATATTGTTAGTACTGAGGTATAGATTCTCGATTCCAGTGTTGTGGCTTAATTTCTTCTGCTATGTTTTCTTTATTTTCTTAACTATCTTCTTTTTCCACTGGTTCTTAAGAAGCATTGTGGTGAACCTACCAGGAACTCTTGAAATCAATTGAACTTAAGCATTTCGCCACATGCATTCAATCCTATTCTTTCCAGTGAGTATTAAGAAAGCTTAGCTTCCTCTGGATAGCACCCAGTGAAGCTTAATAGAGAGGATGTTTGACACGTGCAAGTCCCATTAAAATCAGTGGGATTTAATCACATAGTTAAACAGTTGAGTCTCGTTTATTTCAATTAGGGAAGCTGCAAAATCAGTCCCTTAATTTCCACTGCCTTTTCCGCTTGAATAAATACCAAATATCTCAGATATCTTTGCTTTTCTGAGCATTCTCTGCGTTGGTCGAGTACCTGGTTCCCCACCCCACCCCAAAATGTCACACAAACTGGTACGCATTACAGCACAAAGTGTACTTAAGTGTTGAAATGGGCACACCCGTTTCCCTTCTCTTTTTCTACCTTGCCTCAGAGTACAAGCACAAGTGCAGTAAGTTGGATTTGCAGGCCCATAAACATGGATTTATGGGACGCGGGTGGTGCTGTGGGTAAAAGCCTCAGTGCCTAGGGCTTGCTGATCGAAAGGTCGGCGGTTCGAATCCCCGCGGCGGGGTGCGCTCCCGTTGCTCGGTCCCAGCGCCTGCCAACCTAGCAGTTCGAAAGCACCCCTGGGTGCAAGTAGATAAATAGGGACCGCTTACTGGCGGGAAGGTAAACGGCGTTCCGTGTGCTGCTCTGGCTCGCCAGAGCAGCGATGTTACGCTGGCCACGTGACCCGGAAGTGTCTCCGGACAGCGCTGGCCCCCGGCCTCTTGAGTGAGATGGGCGCACAACCCCAGAGTCTGTCAAGACTGGCCCGTACGGGCAGGGGTACCTTTACCTTTACCTTTTAAACATGGATTTATCCTGCAAAATGTCAGCTAAGATTATTAGATAAATAGATAGATGTTTCTTTCACATCCACATTTCCTATATACCTACTAATCTTGCTTTAAAGCCAAAATTGAAGCTTAGTTACTTGTGACTAGTTGCCTAGATGTGGACATAAATGTGAATCCGAACTTTCATTGGAATTCTCAGCCCATGTTCCAGGGAGAAATACATTTCCAAGTTCTGTTCATTTCTTGTTCAGTGGGTTTGTCTCTGCCTTGCCTTCTGCTAGTCCTGGATTTTAGCTTCACTGGAAGAATGTCTGGAACAATTTTTTCCCCTGGAGCATGTGCAGCTTGTCACAGTTTTCAGTTCCTCCTATTCTTTTGCAACCTTTCCCCAGCCCATAGTACCAACATGTGCATGTGCATTGGCAGAACACTGCAAAAACACAATCTTAGTGTGATTCACTAACTTAGACTCCTGAAAAATGTTACACAAATGGATTTTTTTTGGGTGTGTGGATTTTCTACTCCGGGCTAAATTTAAATGTATCCTGGGATCGTAAAATCCCCCCATACAGCTATGGGTGCCATCTCAGAAGGAAAGGCACTAAAGTCTGCTTCCCCCAAAAAGTCACACAATTGGTGTCTGGTTCCCTCCCCCTTTTGAACCCCCAATACATTAACATTAGCTAGGACAAAATAAAAGCAAAACACCCCAGTGGCAATAATCAATAGATTTATTGGACTTCTTTTTTGTCTCAGACTTTTCTTGGTTTTCAAAAATAAAACTGCCGGAACTCTTAAATCTGTATCCCTGGATTAATTTTTCAGGATTTTTGTTGTTGTTGTTGTTTGGGGAAAAGGTTGGCAAAAACAACAAAAAGCACCCGAAATAAAATTCAGGGAGTTTTCTTATGAACTTTTTAAAACTACAACCCCCCAAAAAAACCAACAACACCCCAGGCAATTTTGTATACACAAAGAAAACTATAGATGTCAAGTGGCTGCAATTTGAGGATACTTTATCTCTGTGCAGTTGAAAATGTCCCAGAAGGCCTATATTGTAGGCCTATATGTTGTGTAAATTCTGGTACTAGAATTTACAAGAATCCACTAGAATCTGCGCTCTAATTTACCCCCAGATTTCCTTCTGTATTAGAAGTACGTATGATCAGCTTTCTTCTTGTGCAGTGTTTCATGCGGCAAAACACCGTATGAAAAAGAATCTTGATGCAACTGAATATGATTGTTGATAATGTACAGGGAGTTGGGAAAAGCAAAAATGAACTGAATGAGCTGAAAGATGTGGCTATGCAGCAATTTATGCTATATATGTCGTGATCTGTACAATATCTGGAAGTTAAAAGTAGTATATGAGAGGTCTCCTCATGTATTGATTTCACAGTGGGAAAAAGACTTCTTGAGATCCCTTGTTCCGTCTGTAATTAATTTGTTTCCAAAAATTCTCCTCTGCAAATTTTCATGTCCTCCTGATTAATCAAAGATTTGCTAAATATTCACCAAGCATTTTATACCTAGATACCCTATAGTAGATGTCCATATTTGACAGCTGGTATTTTGCACCGTGTAATAGTTGGCATGTGATGAGCTATAGCACATTAGCATATTTGATAGCTGACCTACAATAATATACTATACTTGACATTATTTACACACAATATAATATTTATTTTGCATTTGACTGCATTTTTAAAGTACGCTGTTGTATTTAAAAGGTAATGGTATTTGACCGTTGATGTTGTTTCATATTTTTTTCCTATCAAAATGATCAATATTCCCCAAAGCCTAATTTTTAATTCCATGGTAAAACCTAATATTGAACCTAGGAATTGGAAACCTTCACATTCAGAAACTTTGAATGCATCTTAACATTTATTCCCTTTCCCCTCTAGTACAAAGTAAATATTCTTCTGTTGAGAATATATATATATGTAACAGATTCAGCACTCTAAATGCATCACAGCTTGTGAGCTTTTGCTCACTGTCCCATGCAAGTGCAAAGACAGAGCAAATAAGATGTGGGCATATGAACTGGCCCTAGAGGAAGCACATAATGTGTGCTTTATTCTCCCTCTTTTCTTCTTGGAAACTGTGGCAAAGAAGAGGTGGCAAAGCATTTGCTTGCCTCTCTCCCAGAGATAAAAGCGCTTCAGCATAGGTCTCTGTCTTCCCCATGAAAAGCACCCTGGGATCCATTGCATTGGTTGTGATTCTGTTTTGCACAGCTGTAATCGGCTTACCTGCCAACAGAAGCTAGATGCTGACGGTTCTAATGCCTTCCTAGGGATCTTCCCAGCCAGATTAAGACTTCTGCTTCTTGCGAAGCATCCTAGTTAAGTATGTTGCAGCATCTGCAGGTGCACAGATCTTGCACAAGCCCTCGCCTCAAGTTTTCAGACAGATGTTGCACGCAGTAAATTACCTTTTGATTTCTATCTCACATTCTGATTGCCTAAATAGTGTTCCCTCCTGTTGAAGCTCTCCAGGCTGGAGGAAACAAAATCTGCTTCTGAAAGTGCTTGTCCATAATGCGATGGATAATCAGCTTTGTTTAGTAACATACGGGGAAAGAAGTGTTCTCGGAGTTGTTGTAAACGCAGTGGTGTGTGTTTTGTGCTTCATAAACATGTTTGCCTCCACGGGGAGACAAGCATGTGCAATGGGAGGAAAATGTGAGCATGGCTTTGTTTTTTAACCAGTTTCTTCATCTAGACATGGTGTCCACATTGAACCAATACTTCGAGCATCTAACTGATGACAACCTAGATTGTCAACAGTCTTGGTAAATTGATTGGTTCTCACAAATGAAGAAGGCAGAGGAAAGTAGATGTTGACCGAGTCCAGGGAGTGATGAATGCTTCGTAGTTTAACTGGGGGTAGTACCCTCTGCCTTGAAGGACAGTGATATGTTTCCTCCTTAAGAGGACCTCACTTGCCCCTGAAGCCCTAACTAGTATAGAATTAGTATGTGGACAGAATGTGGTATCAGGAAGTTGGCCTTGTTTTCTCATCCATTTGTGGAGCATCAGTGATGTCCTGATCCAAAACACATGGATTCATAATTGTTCTTCCCACTTGTCACATGGCAGACATGCCCTTTTGATCTGGGCTTCATCTTAGGCTTGTCAACATGTCTGCTTCAGAGGTGCTTTCTGGAGGATCTAGAGCTGGGTATATCAATCAAATACCTTTATTGGCATGTTTCAAGTAACTGGAATAATTAAAAAGACAAGGGTGAAGCTATCAAGGGTTATAAGGTCCCACTATGGCCATGTGCATTTGGATATTCTGCAATGCCCTATTTTCCAAAAGGATAGTTCACCGGGAACCCTTTTGGGTAAAACTGTGGCTAAAAAGGAAGCTACTAAAGCAGTAATATCTTTGTCCTCATCTGCCAGGAGAAACCTTCTTTGGCTTCTTCTCGGAGTTGTGGGCTGGAGGTCCAACATTTTGCTCAGCATTAGTTGGCAAGGTCTGCCATGTAAAGGGCAATCTAAGAGAATGTGGTCCATTGAATCAGGTACTTCTTGATTGCAGACACACAAACGGGCTTGAAATGGAATGTGTGAGAATCTGCCTTTGGTCACTGCAGAGAGGAAAGCATTTAGTCTTGCAAGCATAAAGGCTCTTCGATGGGAAGGGAGTAGTAGATCCTTTAGATATTTGGCACAGGTTCTGTAGGATATGTGATACCTAAGCCCCTGGGAGAACAAGATCTCGGAGTATGAGGTAACAAGCTCTGTCTTTTGTGGTCGTAGAGCCACTGCTTGATTAATTGGAATATGTGATTTTTGTCACATACCTCGAGGAAGAGCTGGGTATATTTGGACTGTTTAGAGTATGCCTGCTCCAAGTTCCAGCTTTGTTCAATGGAAAAGTGATGGTGTAGCTCAGAGTCTGGAACAAGAGCTAATTGATGGTAACAATTGTGTAAATGCAGTTGAAAGGGGCTGCTCCTTACACTGTTTTGCCACTTTGGCAGTGATTCAGAGGTGTGGCTTTTGAACGCTATCCCGCTGCAGGCATTAGCAGGAGAAAGTACCTCATACCATTATGGACATCTCTCTGCTGTAGCTCCTTGAATCAAAGGCATTACTGTGGTGATCCATTGCCATGTCTGAATTACCCACAGATTTATTTGAACTCTTGAGCCCCCAGAAGCAGGGCTAGCCACAGTGGGTGAATCAGACAAGCATACAATACATTCTCACAAGAACAAATGCTTTCAACATTTGTAGCATCAATCTCTTTATTCTATTTCTCCAGGTGTAGGAGCAGAAAACTAAGGGTAGAACGTAAAGCTAGAATTGTGACTTACTAATTCTGTAGAATTTTGAACTGGCATTTATTAAAAAAAACACACCAGGATTAAAATGCTGCACTCCATGAATTAGTAATACTGCATTTCATCTTTCATGGGTTTACATGGTGAAAGCGCTGATGGTTTCTCTTGTGTCCTTGTTCCCAGAAGTCTCTCTTCATGCTGCAGCCCAGGTCAACGAACCGGGATGCTCCACAGGAATGCCTTTCGGAGGACTCCTCCCTTACCTCGGGGCAGGTTCAATGGGATCACAGGACCAGCATACCAACAACTAGAAGAGTCAAGGATCACAGATCAGGAGACAATACCTTGTCAAAGGTAGGCAAGAAAAACAACAGGAGCCAGCCAATGTCTCCATCAGCTTCAAACTAAAGCAAAACATGAAAAAGTAGACAAAGATGAAAAAATGTGTCTAAAAAAATTCAGTGAACACCAAAGCTGACTTCCTTAAACTGCTCCGCTGAGGGGCATGCGGCTGCCCACACCTCAGCGGAGCAGTTTAACAAAGCCACTAGAGCTGGGCGATGCTGTGTTTTCAACATCGCGGTTTGGCAATCAACCGCCATGTTGAAAGATGCTGCATTGGCACGGGGTGAAACTGCCTCCGCTCTCACCGTGGGAGCTGAGGCACTTTCACCCCAGTGGGCTGGGGCTAAGGCAGCTGGCCCCAGCCTGCTGCTTGGGGCGGGGGGGCAAGCTACCTCATCCCCAACTCCCTGAAGGAGGGGGGACAGTACCCAAGCGCAGGGAGCCTGTCAGGCTCTCTGTAAGACACAGCCCACTGGGCTGGGGCTGCGGTGAGCAGCCTGGATGCCATCCACTGGGAGGACCAGGCTGTATCTTTCTGGGAGAAAGATGCAGCCCCCCTCATGGATGTAGGCAGCCAGTCAGTAGCCAAGCAAGGCTGCAGCTGCCTGGTGCCCTGTCTTTAAACTTCTCTATTGAGGGCTGAGCAGCTGTGATCCCACTCCTACTTGTGAGCAATCAGGAACGCAATCACAGCGGGGGAGGGGAATAACTTTAACAGAGGCCCCACTCCACCCCACTGCTGGCAGGTCAGGGCTCCGTAAAACTGCTTGGCCGAGGCAAGGTAGCAGCGCGCTCCTCAGCCAAGCAGTTTAAAGAAGTGGAGGGAGGAACAAGCTATACTGGCACCTCAGCCAGGCAGCTTGTTGCCTCTGCATTGTATGAGGGCAGAGTGTCACTCAGTGCAGTGCCTCTAGCTTGTTTCTCCCTCAGCACACTGGGCACTGGAGGCAGATTAGGAGCGGTGGTGGTTTCACCAGCGACATACCATTGAGTGAAACCGCCACCGAACTCTACCCTCCTGTTACAGATGGAGAAACAAGCTGCGTCAGCGAGCTTCAATGCAGCTTGTTCCTCCCTCCACTTCAGCAAGCCACATGTCCCTCATGCTGGAGAGGACATGGGGCTTGCTCAGCTAGGGGGGCAAGAAGGCTCAAAGCAGCACAGCCGCCACCCCATCTGAGCCTTCCCATCTCAAGGCAGGGGCAGATGCTGCCTCAGCTCCCCCCGCTGCCTTGGGACGGGTGGGGGGAGATGCGAACAGGTTGTTCCTCCCTGTGATGGAGAGGAAGCCTGCTCCCTCTCCCCCCCCCATGCCATGGCAGCGGATGAGGCAGGCATACAAACTGAGTGTTAAGACGCCTGCCTCATCCGCCACAGCTTTGACATGAGTTCCTTTCCAACATTGTCATATACTGCCATAGTAAAATGTTTTGTAAAGGTAAAGGGACCCCTGACCATTAGGTCCAGTCGTGACCGACTCTGGGGTTGCGGCGCTCATCTCGCTTTATTGGCCGAGGGAGTTGGCATGTGGCCAGCATAACTAAGCCGCTTCTGGCGAACCAGAGCAGCGCACGGAAACGCCGTTTACCTTCCCGCCAGAGCGGCACCTATTTATCTACTTGCACTTTGACGTTCTTTCGAACTGCTAGGTTGGCAGGAGCAGGGACCAAGCTCACACCGTCGTAGGGATTTGAACTGCCGACCTTCTGATTGGCAAACCCTAGGCTCTGTGGTTTAACCCACAGCGCCACCAGTGTATTACGATGTTGGAAAACAGATATTGCCCAGCCCTACTCCTCATGAGCCAGAGGAGCAACGGGGCTTTGGTGAGGCATCTCCTCCCACTTCCGGGGTCCAGCTTAGAGGTGCTGCATGCAGTTCCAGTGAGTTTCTGCCGGGGAAAAAGCCCTGATCATGTCGTGACCTACAGGGATAAACCACCCCCTGAGTTCAGATTGATACACATCAGTTCACAACAGATTCCCCCACTCCAAAGTCCAGCTCCAAACAATATGATCCCACTGTCACAAAATCCACTAGAGCTATGAAGACTGCAGAGGGGAAAGGGTGATTTATGGTTGGCAAAACATTTAGCTATTAATTATGCTCAAACAAAGCTATTATTTTTTGTCATAAACTATGTTACAACTGGATGCTAAATGCCACTCGGTTGATCAGACAGACTAATTCAAATAGCTGGGTGTTAATTTTTTCACCAACAGAAATGGGAAAGTACAAGTGGACTGTATTAAACTTAAGACTGTACATAGAGGCCAGGAATAAAGTAGTGAAACAGCAAAGGATAAATTGAATTAAGCCAATATATTTAACATAACGGTCCTGTGTTGGGGTAGAAAAAAACCTGACTATGCAGGAATCTCCATTTAAACATGACTGTTGGGCAAACTTACATTGTCATGATAGGAGCAGTTTCATTGCATTGGCCCACAGAATGACCAACTTTCACCAGCTTCTAAAACTTACCAAAGATCTTCCCTGGCAGAGAGTTCCATGGGGAGGTTGGCCCTTATCGAAAATGTCTGATCCTCATTTGACCACTTGCCAGATTTCATATGACTTGAGTATATGGAACAGGAAGGAAGTTTCCCTTCAGGCACCCTGGTCCCTGAAAATTAATTTTTCACAGAATTAAATCTGAAGCAAATTTAGAGGCAGAGCAGCTAAGAAAAGGTGAAGGAATTTCAGTAAGTCTAGTGCAATTGCTCAGGGACTTGTGCAATTTCTCATGCATCTCCCAATACATTTTTGTGAAATGAATTTTATCCTGCTGTATCAGTGTGCCTTTTGGAAAAGCTAACAAGTCTCATACCTTTCCTCTCCTCTAGGTTATCTACTGGTTTTAAAAACACCACAGAATACTTCAATAAATATGCAACTGCCTTCAAGAGAGACAAGCTCTTATTTTAATAGCGTGGCTCCAAAGGATATGGTTGGCTATCCATCTCCACGGGCCAGTTCCGTCCCCATCATTCCTTCGGTGGGCTTAGACGAAGCCTGCATGCAGACACAAAACGTTTCAGACATAACAGGCATCAAATGGTGCAAAAACTCCTATTCCACTGAACTTGTTAATGTGAGTGCCCCAGCCAGCAGTTGTCTTATTGCAGAACAACAAGAAGTCAAAATATTGTTAGAAACTGTCCAGGAGCAGATCCGAATCCTGACTGACACAAGGAGGTCGGAGGACTTTGCGCTGTCAAATGCCGACGCCAAGAACAGTACAAGTGAAAACACAGCATTTCTGCCCATGAGTCCTGTGGTGAAATCGGAACAAGAGGCACAGTTTGTCTTAAAAAGTGAAATGAAAAGAGACTCAGCATCAGTCAAGTGACTTTGACCGGGGGTGGGGGTAGGGGGGTGGGAGGGATGTACGGATCTGTGCATTTGAAGCTTTGCTAAACAGGAAAGAGAGGAAATTAAATACAAATTATTTATATGCATTAATTTAAGAGCATCTACTTAGAAGAAACCAAATAGTCTATCGCCCTCATAACAGTGTTTTTTAACAAAATATTTTTTTAAGGGAAAGAGAGGTACCAGGAGGGAAAACACTTAATCAGAAATTTTGATTATTTTTTTTCTTCCTTTCTTCCAGTTTTCTCCCACCCCTTATTCTGTTGTTTCCTCCGGGCTTACAAAACACAGTTTCACAATTTTACAGATGTCCTGTTTGAAGGTTTAGTCTGGCACAACACCTTAGATGTATGAATTTCAGAAGAGTGCAACATGAGAACTGTTGTTGGGCATTTTACCAGCACATCTTCCACTGAAATGAATGGGAGCAAGAGCACAGCTACTGTTCTTATTTCGCTGTTTCAGTGGGGCTCGCTTGGGTGACACTGGCATTGTGCCCAGTGCCAATGCTCCCCCATGCCTCCTAACCACAATTCCTTTTGAGTAGTCTGGCTCCCACAGCCTCCACAATTCAGACCACTGTTTAACACAAGAGTTTTGTCACTGATCCAGATTTGTAAAACAAATCCAAATGAGCCGTACCAAAATATCACTGGAAATGAAATCCAACGTCAGTTTGGCCATTCGTTCCACAAGCAAAACTGAATGAAGTCATAGCAGCTTTGGCAGGACTGCAGGAGGGTGTTGTAAGGGAGAAAGGGATTTGAAAATTTAGGTCCTCCTCCAGTGATGATTTGCAGGAATCCAAAATGGTTTGGTAAGTCTAGTAACATTTCTCAGGAGAGTTTAAGCATATCCCTAATGCAAATATGTAACTCTCCTGCAAAAACTAGAATGTGTGACATCAAGACTTAAAATCTAGCACTTCAGCAAGTGTGGATGCTTTATGGTATTTTATTTTTTATTTTTTAATACCAGGAGGTTTGATCCAAATGAGCACTACTCTAGTAGGTAAATCTAAGGCTGTTTTCTTCTCACTTCAGCACTCGCTATCAACGACTTTTATTTGGAAACAATTTCCTCCCCCTCTTAATATCAAACCAGAAAAAAATTCTACTTGAGAGGAAGGTTACTCATGGCAGATACGCAGCCTGTGTGTATATTACCTATTTCATTTTATTTTCAAACAACACAACAAAAGCCCACACCTTAAACCACATTACGTTTGCCATGGAATTTCGAGTATTGTCAGAATGTTATTCTTGGAAGTCATTTGTGAACTCCAGAGGGACTGCTCAAGTATGTGCATACGTGTGCGTTTTAATTTTATTAACTCCTTGTCCAGGGGCCTGGAGGATCTTGTGCGTTTCTGTATTCGGCATATATATATGCGATTGTCACTTTAATTTACTTCCATGTCTAATATTCCCATTCACTTTCAACCTGATCCATAACCAAGTGAAGCATCTTCACTGGACATGATCCAAAGTTCCTTTGGGCCCCTCGGAAAGGAAATGCTCAGTTTGTGTATGTTAATTTCCCATTGTCCATGTGTAGAGCAGCATTGGATGATAAAAACAGAAAATTCAGCTCTCTGGCACTTCCTGCTTTTCCGTATCATCCTTAGCAAAAGCTACACATCTCATTGTATGGGACATGTGCCAGTTTTCCTTCAGGGGTTACATGGAAATGGGAAGTATAAGTCTTGTTCTCCCTGCAAATTGTAAAGGCCAGAGCTGTCCTTAGGTTTTCAACCTTAAAACCTGGATCACACAATCCTAAGTATAGGGAGACCCCTGAATTTGAATGGACACATTAGCAGCAATCTGTCCTCAGATGCTTCTTTTACACATCGTGCAATCCACTGAGCCAAAGTGGTTTTAGAAAAATATTCATTGATATTAATGGAGATCTGGGTGAGCACAAAATCAGGTCCTTAAAAATAAGATAAACTTGCCAGTTGGGGTTTTCCTAAGAACTTGAAATTTCTTTTGTATTGTTTTTATTTAACCACAAACCACAATATGGCATCAGAATAAAGAACTTGTGTTCAGTAACAACCTATGTATTAGTACTTTTTTATTTTTTAAACAAGAGTATCATCTGCTTAAACTGTTTCGTACAAATTACTCTCTATAGTAAAGAAAAGGAAAAAAATAGACCAAACAGCCTTCCCTCTTTAATGGTAGAGATCATATTTTCTAAACTATATGCACACTATATAGATGGAATACATTAATACTCTAATCCACAGCCAGAATATTGTTATAAAAAATTGCATTACCTTGATTCCCAAGTTTTCTCAAGAGCCAGGTTTCCAAAATAGGGCAGTAGATATGTTCCTGTGATAATGAGAAGAAAGCAATATTTTACTCCCCGTCAAATGAACTGGATAAAGATGCTTTAAAAATGCCATTTGTTTTACTTGCCATTCACAAATCCCCGACACCATTCAAAATCCGTAGACACACAAATCCTCCCCCCCCCAATGTTGATGGAATTGTCTTGTTTACATAACTTTCTATAGCTCTAATCTTTGCTGTGTGTTTTCACTAAAGCGGTATTTCACTGCAAACTCTGACTGATCTGATCCAGAATGGTAACACCAATTATACTTTTCCACCAATGTCAGAAGTTCTCATAAGATTGGATAAAAGGGGTTGGGGTTGGGGTGCTACCCAGAATCATAGGAAAAGACAATGAACACAGAGTTGGCTGTTTTGCTGGCGTGGGGAGCAAACAAAGAACCTCCCCTTCTAACCAGTCTTAAAAATCTACTGGAAACACACTGCATGATTTCTGCTGGAGAGAGAAAAAAAACAAATCTGATTTTGGCAATGCCTTTCTTAAAGCATTCTATCATTTTGCCATCCTCAAAAGGAGGAAGAGCAGAGCAGCAATGTATTAATGGTCAGTTGATGTGGTTTCTTGGTTTCTTTTTTTAATTGACATGAGAGATGAAGATCTGAAACGGTGGGAAATCTTCCATTTGTGTTAGCAATGCTCTCTGTATCCAGCAAAGGATGTGTGACTGTTATATGTTAACTGTTCTATTCAGTTTTCAGCATGTTTGAATAGAGAGACATTAATATTAACCATCTGAAAGACTAGTGTACTTATTTGTTAAGAATACAACTTCATCTCACAAATTCGATGCAGGGGAGGTGTGTCAAGATATGCTGGGTAATTCTTAATCTGAATTAACAGTTTGTACTATGAACACTTCCCCCCACCTCACCCCACGCTCACTTCAGTCTAACATTTAAATTTCTTACTCAGACTGCACAAAATAGTATAGCAAGTTGCTGCATGTACACACACACGTACACAAATTCAGGAGGTACTAGGAAAAAAACTGCTCTGCTTTAACCATCATGTGAAACAGGTCATTTCAAAGGCATGGGAAGGCATCCATCTATAAAGTGACAGCCAGTGATTTCATTAGTCAATATTTCAGAACTCCTGGGCTTTGGTCCAAGCTAGGTGTGCCATTGATCAAGGCAGAAATTCAGTGCCTATCACCTGTACCGACAGTATTTGGAGATTTTTAATGGTTTCATGAGGAAAAATCTCATATCTTAAGATGACCATAAAATATGTTATAGACATTCCCTATGCCTTGTGACGCTGAACAGTCATTTGTACCATGAGTGCTAGCTTGGCCCTGTGACCGTGGGTGCCTGGGGCCATGGGTGTCATACAGCATGCATGGCCCTGGCACTGAAATTTGTGGGTGCCTGGCCACTTCAGGGGGAATTTTGTGGGTGCTCGGGCACCCAGGGCCCCAGGCAGTTGGCACCTATGATTCATACTCAAATGTGCTTGCGTATGTTGGTGTGCACAAATGTTCCTGATATGCATGGCATTTCAAGCAATCTAAACTGTAAAATACGAAGAGTACAATTTTGAAATAAGTGGGAAAGCTTACACAGAATACAGCCAATTCCTTTAAAAAAACACCCTACTACATGGTGATCTTTTGTGTATGCATTTCATTTACATAAACAATCCATTCAATGAATAAAGCCACTGTGTACCATTTTCACACACACACACTCAAAATGCACAACATGATTGTTTTGTAAAGTGCCCCATTAGCAGTTGCTCCACCATCTGGAAACTGCTAAGTAAATCCCCAAGATACAAAAGCAGTTTGGTTCTGAAAGAGATTCTGAAAGAGAAATTGCCCCTTGACGGCAAATTCTAGTCTTCTGGGCATTTCCCAGCTGTTGAGCTACCTAGTCCGTAAAGGAAATTGGGAGAGGAAGCTGGTGGTAGGAAAATTCATTAAATAACTATAATGATGCACTGATATCTTGAGTTGCTGCCAATGGGTGCAACTCCCACCCACAACAGGGAAAACACACTCATGGATGCATTGTGTAGTAACACATCGGTGGAAGGTGAGACCTAAAGAAACTGCCATGCTGTAGCTATGAGCACACTGGTGTTGCCTCTCTGAAATGGGACTGCTATGGAGACTCTCATAAGAACGTGGCCCCACTGAAGGATTTGTAATAATAATAATAATACATTTTATTTATATCCTGCCCTCCCCAGCCGAAGCTGGGTTCAGAGTGGCTAAAAACAGTAAAACGATAAAACCTTCTAAAATCATTTCATTATAAAATTAATTCTAATCAAATTAATGGCAACCATTGGGCTAGAAGTTCTGTGAGGATTGCGTAAGGAGGGAGTCAGGCTGTGCCCTGGCCAAAGGCCTGGTGGAACAGCTCTGTCTTGCAGGCCCTGCAGAAAGATGTCAAGTCCTGCAGGGCCCTAGTCTCTTGTGAAAGAGCGTTCCACCAGGTCAGAGCTACAGCTGAAAAAGCCCTGGCTCTGGTTGAGGCCAGCCTAACCTCTCTGTGGCCTGGGACCTCCAAGATGTTTTTGTTTGAAGACCGTAAGTTCCTCTGTGGGACGTGCCAGGAGAGGCGGTCCCATAGGTACGAGGGTCCTAGGCCGTATAGGGCTTTGAAGGTTAAAACCAGGACCTTAAACCTGATCCTATACTCCACCGGGAGCCAGTGCAGCTGGTATAGCACCGGGTGAATGTGATTTCGCAGCGAGGACCCTGTAAGGAGTCTCGCCGTGGCATTCTGCACCCGCTGGAGTTTCTGGGTCAGTCTCAAGGGCAGCCCCACGTAGAGCGAGTTACAATAATCCAGTCTGGAGGTGACCGTCACGTGGAACACAGTGGCTAGGTCAGGGCGAGAGAGGTAAGGAGCCAACTGCTTAGCTTGGCGGAGATGAAAAAATGCCGCCTTTGTTATAGCTGCAATCTGCGCCTCCATGGAAAGGGAGGTGTCGAAGATTAAACCCAAACTCTTAACGGATGGCGCTGGCACTAACTGCACTCCCGCAAGAGATGGGAGTTGCCCCCCCCAATCCCATATCGTCCCTAGCATAGGTGGAGAGCAGAAGTTGTTAGACTCCAAGTCTCCTAAGCCAAAGCCAGTATAAACAGTGGTCAAAGATTAGGAGAGTTGTAGTTCAACAATATCTGGAGGACCACAGGTTTTCCAGAAATGATATGTGAGCATGCACATCTCAAAGGGAGCAACATGTAAGTTTGGCCAGGGATAGGTCAGTCAGCAGAGCATGAGACCCTTAATCTCAGGGTCGTGGGTTCGAGCCCTACATTGGGCAAAAGATTCCTGCATTGCAGGGGGTTGGACTAGATGACCCCTGTGGTCCCTTCCAACTCTACAATTCTATGATTCTATAAAATAGACGATGGGAGTATGAATCAGAAAATGGTATTCAATTTGGAAACAAACATTAAATCTGTCCAAAAGGTCTTCCACACAACCACCCATTTGCCCCCAAACCCAAAAGAAGACACATGAGACAAGTTGGAGGAATTGCAAAGCAACAATAAACCAACTATCCAAATTCAAAGAAATATGTGCAAGTAACACTAGGTCCCGCTGTCAAGTGTTCATCAAACATGCGTATGCCAAGCCTACAGGGCACCCCTAAACCTCACCATGCACCCTGGCAGAGCTTTGAAAAGTGCTCATAACCCAACAATGCCTCAGTTTACCCTATATTCCACCACTTCCCTACCTGCCTGTATTCAATGCCCTAAACAGGCTGCCATACCATGCCACTGCCAGAAGCCAGGCAATGAATAGAGGAACCCTAAGGACAATCAAAGGGACATGGGTGGCACTGTGGTCTAAACCACTGAGCCTCTTGGGCTTGCCGATCAGAAGGTCGGCGGTTCGAATCCCGTGACGGGGTGAGCTCCCGTTGCTTGGTCCCAGCTCCTGCCAACCTAGCAGTTCGAAAGCACACCAAAAAGTGCAAGCAGATAAATAGGTACCGCTCTGGCGGTAAGGTAAATGGTATTTCCGTGCGCTGCTCTGATTTCCATGTGCCGTTGCACCAGAAGCGGCTTAGTTATGCTGGCTACGTGACCCGGAAAAACTGTCTGCGGACAAACGCCGGCTCCCTCAGCCTGTAAAGCAAGATGAGCGCCGCAACCCCAAAGTTGTCTGTGACTGGACTTAACTGTCAGGGTCCTTTACCTTTACCATTAAGGACAATCAATGAATCTCACCTCCCCCCCCAAAAAAAAATCCAACTCAGCCCCTTCAAGAGGCAACAATAATAAAGGGAGGGAGAGAGGGTACTCTAAAGAAAAGCAAGGAAGAATGTTTAGAGGAGGAGCAGGTTTAAATGTCCAGCTTCCCATTTATTGCATCCATTTTATTTGGACTGGGAAGCTCTGCTTGCAACTTCAGAACAAGTCAGGATCACAAATCACAATTTGAAGCTGGTTTAAGATTTTGGCTTGTTCTGAAATTGGCAAACTATAGTCTCCCAATTTGGAGGGAACTGGAAACTATGTTTCATTGGAGACTTGGAAGTTTGATTACAGAGGACTGCGAAAGGAGGAGAACAGGGGCTGAGTGCTCAGACAAAAAGCTCATTGGTCTCTGGGTTTATCAAGCCAAGATATGATCATCCTAATTGGGTCAATGAGTAGGGACTCATAACAATTCAACAAAGCCAGAGAGCTCAAAGCCAATGGTAACTGAAGTTTCAAAAACTACAGCCTGCCATCTTAAACTACTTTTCATCCTTTTTTGTTGAATTCATTTTATTTGGTTCAGGGAACTAACAAACAAAACTATTTGCAGTGGTGATATGCAACTCTCATTGTTCTTTTATTTTCTTTTAGTTAAAGAGAAAAGAAATTCAGATCTGTTAGCAGAACAGAACTCTAATTGTTTGGTGATTAAATCAGATGCAGCATTTGTCTCTTTCAATGATCATAAGTCCAATAAAAGATTATCCAAATGGGGTTTTCAGCTTTGTGCAAATGGGTTTTATAGAGCTAAACAAATATTTGGCCTACAGAAAGTGTCTCACTCCTACTGAAGCAAGGATCATTGATCTATTGCTGGATCTGATCTATTGCTGATATTGTGACCTATTGCTGAAGGATGCTTTCTAAGGAAATGAATCATTCCCTTCTGATTCACAGCAGTGTGTGCTACCCTTTATTTTGCATGTGAAAAATCTGTTGAGGTCAACAAGAGTCATGCAGTCATCAGTGGCAAAACACTGGATGTCCTACCATAGCCACCCTCTTCCTAGGGTTAAGTGGTCTCTATTTGAACATCAGTTCAGATAAAATATTCAACATGCACACATTTACCGTATTTTTTGCTCTATAAGACTCACCTTTTCCCTCCTAAAAAGTAAGGGGAAATGTGTGTGTGTGTGTGTGTGTGTGTGTGTGTGTGTGTGTGTTATGGAGCGAATGCAGGCTGCGCAGCTATACCAGAAGCCAGAACAGCAAGAGGGATCACTGCTTTCGCTGCGCAGTGATTCCTCTTGTTGTTCTGGCTTCTGAGATTCAGAATATTTTTCTTCTTCTTTTCCTCCTCCAAAAACTAGGTGCGTCTTATGGTCTGGCACATCTTATAGAGCAAAAAATACGGTAAACATTCAAATGTTCCCAATATTGTTGGAAACAAAAACTTGAAACAGTGGGTTTAACCCTGAATGTTGCAGTAAATTAAATTCGAGCCAGCACATAGGTAAGAGTCTCACATGCTCTATCACATATTCAACATCTAAACTGTAAATATGACAAAAGCAGGATTGGTTCCATGAACCAGTGCTGAAAACCTGAGCATCTTTTTCAGAA